GATCAATTCCAGAATGTTCCAAATTTTTATCTTGTAAGGATAAAGTTCAATCATCAAGTATTGTTTCTAGATGAAAATCAACTGGTCGGCCAAATTGTTGCTTTTATAATGTGGTATGAATGGATTTTGAGAAAATGTGTGTGCAACTGAGAATTTAGGATACAGAATTGTGGATCTAAAGACAAAAACAGATTCACATAAATAAAAGCTTGCTTTAAAGAAAATAATTCTGGCAATCCTAGTAAAAAAAAGGTATAGCCAGTTCAAAAGGCTCCCGCTAAAGCAAGACCTGCAGGTTACTGTAAGAAAACCTAGCTTCTAATTTCTAAAGGTGTCCAAAATATATCCGGAAAACCAATCAAACTAAACCAAACTAACCAATTTGATTTTGTTCAAGTATAGAACAGCTTCATCGTGGTTTTAAATAGCTCATAATTTTATGGTCGAGCAAGCCAAAATCAAACCAAAACCAATTCAGAAATTATGAATTTAATAAAGGTTAAATACAAATGGTAAAAGGAAGTGGACAACAATTGCTTTTTTTTTTTCGGTTAATGTGGATAGAGGTCAAATGAAGTAGAAAGTTATAGCATATCATCATTTTTTATTAATGAAAATAATGGCTCTATAACATATTTCTACTCATTTCTAGAATTGAAGTTATAATCATGTCTAATTAATTTTAATTATAGAATGAATGATTTGATATTTCATAAAATCACAACAATTGAATTCTTGAATGCATATTTTATGATCATGTTTATAATTCGGAATTTGATAATCAAGTGCTTTGGTCCATATTTATGTTCTTCAACAGTAATCATGTCATTTATCCAAGCAAATTAGTGGATAGTCTAAGATTGAACATGAATCGAATCAACTACTTTAGATAAGCTTGGTTCAAATCTTTTTAGGTAGAACATTTCAAAAATGGACGGACAGAGCATATTGATTTGGCTTAAAACTGAAGCAACCAAACTCGCTAGTCTCACTAAACATTAAATTTCATAGATACTACTTAAGTTTATCCCAGCCCAAATTTTTCTCAAGCAATCCTGGTTTGCAAATGGCAAATATTTCTCTTAAATTGAAACATTCATCTCATTTCAAGTTTAATTTCCCTTAAAACATTTAATCCACTATCTGAAACCAAAGATACAATAACATTTAACTTGAACCATGAGTTTTAATTTCGCAAATATGTTCTTGCATACTTTAAACATAGTTTGTCTCATTGACCAACCGATGTATAGAACTTTCTGTTCAAAAATTTGCCATTACAAGTTTGTAATTCAACTTCCAAAAGCTTAGTTCATCATTCATACAACACTACATGTATTTGTCAGGACCATAAAGATTGATCTTACACATAAAACAATGATTATTACTTTGCAGATCACTATAGGAATGTGAGTTGAAGAATATGTTGCATGACAATAATCACTATTAGTAGACTGAAACCTTCCTATTCATACCATAACAATGTACATAACCATTATAAAAATGCCTGTTCAAATTGTCAGTTATTTGATCAAAAGAGCGCTCTTAATTTTCAGATGCTAGTATACTCTATTCTAGTTCAAGACTATAAGGGCACTGCAAGTCACTTGATCATATAGCTTCCAATAGATTTGGATCATTCCAATAAGTTCTTTTTGAAGTTTCATTGTAACCAAATGCTTTTGTATCCATTAAAAGATCCCATCTTGTCGTTCATCAAGTAAATGATTACAATATCGAGTCTGACTTCTACAGAAATTTGATGCAATCTAAAGCTCTAATACTAAAATTCATGTATGACTTGCCAAAACTCTTAGTTTCTACTGAAAATAATTACTATAAATGGCATCCAAAAACAAAATGATATGATGTAATGTTATTGTGATTTTCTACTGGATATGCAAACAAACTAATGCAAATAGATACTCATGTGATGCAAAAAAATTCATAAGTGAACTACTTAGAACAAGCAAAAAATTTGTCCTCGGGATGAAATACAATAAAAGAACATAAGTCCGAGTAAAACAGAAATGGGCCCATAAGGGTATACTCGCCAGACGAATTTGAGACAAATAGCATCAGCTTACAATGTCAAGCACACAGATGAAAACTTAGGTGTGTCGTATCTAGTTAACTACAACTACATTTTGCAACCAATAACTAAATTAAAAAGATTATAAAAGGAGAAAGAAAGAAAGGAATGGTTACACTCGAACAAAGAAGTTACATTGCATCCTAGAAAAATGCCATGCACAAAGCTGAAAACTCATTAACTGCAATCACATTCTGCAACCGGTAACAAAATTAACAAGACAAAAAAAAAGGTTAGCCTAGCAATAAAATTGCAATTGAAAAAGTTACTGCATTTTCGGATTATGTGGAACCAAAAAGATTTTAAAATCTAAAGAGAATTAATTATTCAATAACAAAAACTGCTTTCAGAGAAAGCACATTTTACTATACCAGAAGTATATAATACTATAAGGTGAGATTCATGAGAACGCAACAAACAATGAACTCAAACGTAAGGCAAGTTATGAGAACATATCTGCTAAAATACAGCAGGGATGAGTACCAGAACATCAGTAACAAGATCTTCTGTTATACCTTGGGTGCCCCCACGACAATTTAAGATCCTAGAGAATTAATTTAAAATCTAATACCCCAAAACAGAGAAATTCAACTCTGGACGTACCATACAATACGTTTTAAGTAATTACTAGAAGCATACTTTAGAGTGAGCATAAGTCATATCACACAATTAATCGTGTGGGCTATTATGCATCCAAAACTATAGTGAAACAATAAATAACTGAACACAGACAAAATTAGACCCAAATCCAACACAAAAAAAAATAATTCTCACAGCAGAACAATCTTGTATTTTTTTTTTTATTTTTATGACAACTGTAGGCTTTAAGCTACGCAATATTTCATGACTTCATATGTTCTGTTTGTCTTAGTTTAACATGTTTCAGTGACCGTATGCCCACATTGAATTTATCATAACATTCCTCATCCGAATATTCCAGATATCATTTGAGCTGGTAGTGGTGAAGTTGTGCCTCTTAGATTCTTAAATTAGCGCATCATGATTTTGGTTTCATGGCATTAGCTCTCTAATGGAGAATTTACTGAGAAAAGTTGCTTCAGCTGAAGCCGTAAAAGCAAAATTCCACAGAACTACAAATATTGCGGATGAAAAGTTCTGTAAACACCCAACAGATACATAAGAACTACAAGAGCACAGAAACTATAAAATCAGAGTTCTGAAAAAGCATATTCCTACAGGTGAGGCAGTACCCTGAGAACAGCAAGGAAACAGAAGCAGATTTCTACAAGAAAATCTAAAGCCTGAGCATTGTTGAACAATGTTCTACAAAACAAGAAGGTAATGCAGAAATTGAGATATTCCCAAGTACATTTGAAGCAGAACAATGCTGAACCTGAAAAGCCCGAGTTATGCAGTGATTGAAGTGTTAGAATTTCGTTCTACGGTAGCTGATAGGTAGAAGGCACAGTAAAGTTTCAAACATAATTAATAAATTCATCAGACTCAATCATTTTCTTCTGCAGTTATGGACAACAAAGGCGTGACACTGCATAATAATATTAAGTTTTTTCATTCATTATTTAGAATGCATTTTACCAATGCCCTTGTGAGAGGTGATATCAAGGATATTAATCTGTAGTGATGAAAAATGGATAGGAAAGCTACAAATGGTCAACCCAGAAGGTTTCCTCACAACCAAACTGTATAGAGCAATTCCATGGCTTGGAAATTTGTCATGGCTTATATGAATCAAACCACTGGAAGGGGAGTAGTTGCTATCATTTGTCTACATTCTAGCACAGAATAGCTCAATGCAAGATACAACTGAACACTTCCAATATCCAGGAAAGATGATTACAGAAACTAATTTCAATGTCTGATTAGAAAAAACCATGCACAAGGTCTGGATTCCCTTATTCAACCATCAGCATATGCCAAAAGACCAATTGATACTTAGTTCAGTAAAAACATGTAAAATTACTTGATGATTAGCTATACATACCATACTTCAAGGTGTTGTATTAACTCCTATTTCTAGATATTTCCCATAGCACATCCATGCACACAAATTCATTGCGATTTAAAAATAAACTATGTTTATAACAAACAATTTTCATTACGATGACTGACTGAAAAAATGCGGATGCCCACACATCTGAGAAGAAGCAAGTAGCAAATATAGGGTGGTCCACCCCAAAAAGAAAATGTTATCATTCTAAATGAATTCATTATGTGATCTGCCTACATAATGGATAGAAGGAAAGGCAAGTCAAACAATAGCCAGCTGTCTTTATAGCCACAGGAGATCATTGCTGCGAGTTTCCAATGCCACCTGCAGGATAGAACTCTAATACTTGCATGCAACATTGACTATTCGTTAGTAAGTTTTGGCTTACATCCCATAAAATCACCATTTTGCACGTACATTTGCTCTAAAACTTCCTTTCAAGCACTTCAAACGCACAACATGCTGAAATGAGAGGATGGCACGACATCAAAATAACTTTTACACTAATACATCAACTCCTAATTGCCAAAGTTTCTATGTAATCATCTCTATACCTTTACAGATCTCCATGCAAGTTTAATCATAAATCAACTAAGGACAGCGAGACTATCTTAAAATCCCAAATGATGTACAGCATTTTATCACCCCCAATTCAATCAGAAAACCAGTAACAGAAGTATAAAAACCTGCCACCTAAACATGACAATTTCTAACAAACCCAATATCCACAGATTCACTAAAAACAAAAAACAAATCAAGCATCCATACAATCAATTCCATCTCCACTTCCGCCAATCCTAAACAGCGGCATCCCCGCAACAAAGCCTTATTATAAATAAATGAAAACAATCAGCAATAAAAAAGTAAAAAAATTCCGGCTTGCCCTAGATCCATCAAAATTAAACGAGAAGCAAATGGAAGACGGACACAGACGCGCACCATAGCTCTCTAGGGTTTTATCATCCTTCAAGATCCGTCCCTTATAAATTAATCTCTGCTGCTCCGCGGGCACGTCGCACTTCTCCGAAATAAGGCCTTTGAAAACGCTGACGACTGCGTCGAGGGCCGTCTGGACGGAAAACTTCGATCCATTGGAGCAGCGAATGTGAATGGTGGCAGGGCTGGCCGCTCCACTAGCGACACTCGAGTCGCAGGAATCCCCATCAGCGCCCATCGGAAGTTGGAGATCGGGGACTGCGAGCCCTAGCGATTGACGAATCGCGGCACCCGAATCAGAAAGGAGTTTCCTTCGACTTTTCTTAGAACAGGGAGTTGGAGTTGGAGGAGATAGGAAGCTTCGAGAGAGATGCTTTTCCGCCCAAGCTAAAATGGGAAGCAGTCTCAGCTAGGTTTTTTAGTTACAGTCACTCTATTATCCAAACATTTTTAGAAAAATTTGATATGTTCAGAGATAAATTTATTTACTGTTTATTTTATTAGATTTATATTCACAATCTTTATTTCAAATCAAAAACTTACATGTTTGATGTGTAGCCAATAAATTTTTATCTTAGATGGATCTCAATGTATTTTTAATAATAGAAGTTCAAAATTTTTATTTAAGATATTCAACAAGTTTATATTCGAACTGACTGTTTCAATAAGACGAATCTGATGATATCCGTTGAATCTATAAATGACTGGTAAACACACCAAGAAGTAGAGCATTTGATTAATTAAAATTTAAATATAAGTTAATTATTTTTTTTATTTATGTTATTTTCTCCTTTGTTTAGTGAGTTTAGGCGTATTTTTATTTTATTTTTATGTTTTTTTTTTATTATTTGCAAAGTTATGAATTTATGATTTGGATAAAATTTTATGGATTTAAATAATTCAGAAAATCTGATTTTACTATTTACCCATCTTAATATAAATCCTATTTAATCCTTTATATTAAATAGGGGAACTTATTGGCAAATACAAAGGTTTCACAGACCAAATAGATGTCATACTTTCCTTAGTTTATTTGATCGAGCCTCATCCTCAAGACTTGTTTTTATCCTTCAGGATAGATACAGGATTTGAGGTACAGTGCTCTTTCTTCTTAAACTATGAAAAATATGGGGTCAGTTTGATTTCATACTTCAATGTCCTTCAGAAGCGGGCGGCGGGATTTTGATTCCAGTGACCGACAGCTTCTTACGGGCAACTCCCCTTAAACCAACCCAAAATAACACCGACAATGATGAATTAGGGTCATTGGAGCAAAAAGATACAAAAATGAGCAAATTTGGAGCGAAAAGGACCAAAATGTGAAGATTTGAACTAGGCCTCGTCGACCCCGCCGACTGTGAGTTTTTCCAGAGACTACAGGACAAAATCTTTAGAAGCCCACCGACGGCGCCCTCGAGGCCGTCGACGGCGAGATCGACGGTTATGTCCAACAATGTATTGGATGAAGACGAATTTTGGATGGGTGCTTAGACAATTCTTTGGAAAACTCATCCACAACTTTAAAAGAAGATTTTGGCTGAAAATGGAGGGATTCCGGGAGTCAGGGAGGCTAGAGAGGTTCCATTAGTTTAGTAGAGTCTAAATCATGAAAATGTTAAAGAATTTGTGATGATCTTTTCACTTCGATCGTAATTTACTTTTAATATGGCCAAATGATTTGTTAAAATATGTTGTTTTACAAATAAAGTGAAGATTACATCCAAGATCAAGGAGGTCAAAGCCCTTGGAAGTTGGGTGCAAATAAATAGGAAAATAAAATTATCGGGCGTAGAATTTGAGATTTTAGAGTGACTGACTAAAATCCTCAATTCGGTCATATCGTTTGGGTGCTGAAGTGTAGATGTTAGCCCTCACCTAGCCGCAGATTCAGTAAACAAGCGTAGGATTAGTCAATGTTCTTTATGTCTGGATCAAAGGGTAAAGAGTAGGTATGCTCCTATTTGGCACAATACAATTTGAACTGATTCACTTTATCTATTCACTATAATTTCTTGACAATGAGAAGAATGTTTTCTTATATATTGAATGTCATATTAAAATTTTTATTAGTATAATTAGTTATTTAAGAGTTATTAAAATTACATATTTATTTCAATTGTTATTAGTGACAGATAAGCAATTTGAATTCCATAGTTGCAATTAAGTATTGTTTTTCTAAAATCTTAATTTGTAGCTTCTAATATTACTCCCTGTAGGATCGATATCTAGGACTTCATTAGAGTTTTATATTACTTGAGTGATACGTATACTTGCGTTGATAAGTGTGATTTTACCATTATTGAATATTTTATATATACATATTTATCGAATCTGTAACTGTCATTAAATTTTTGGTGTTATTGTTGAGGAATTAAATCTTTTAGCAATAGTATTAAATACTTTTATTTTAAGCATATAAAAAGTCGTTGTCACTCCCCCTCTGTGTTTTTGTCATTTTGGCTGATCTTCGTCGTCTGTTCCGAATACATGAAAATAGACAACATTTGTTTATCATCGCCGCGAGAAGAAAAAAATACAAAGAATCGTCCTTAATAAAAGCCTAAAATCTCGCTCTACACTCAATCTAATCGCATGTGGTTTAATCATATGGTTTAATTTATGTGAGACGAACCTATTTATATGGTTCAGTAGGCATGCATTGTTCATTTGCTTCATAAAAGACCAAACCAAGGGTCATTTTAGGGAATTCGAGTCATTACCTTATCCCAATAGGTGAGGTCTCGATTGGGCTTGATAGAGAGGATCACCTTGATGTCATGAAGCTTCCTCTTACTTCAATTTGCCTTGAAATAGGCCTTAGCTATGAGCAAGACCAAGTGATGGCTCGGGTTGATGTTGGAGTAGGTTAGGGAGTGTGAAAAGCTCGGATTTTGATTGGGGGTAAGGTTTTGGCGCCTTGTGAAGCTAATAGGAAAGTTAGATTGGGGTTTTGATGAAGTTGATGTAAAGGCCGAAAAATAACCTAGATTTCAATAGTGAAATTAGGGTTGTGTGGTGATGGATATTGCTTGAGGATGGTGGGAATGAGTCGCTCTGGTCATTAGAAGTGTTTTTTTTTTGTGTTTAGAGCAAAGGGCTTAAGTGGTTTGCTAGGGAGTTGAGTGCGTGCGTGGAGCTATCGGGTTACCCTCCTTAAATAGTCGTGAGAGATCATGGGGGGAGCTCTGGTGTGCATGGAAGAGTCTAGTGGTTCCTCAGAGGATGTGCAGAGAAATGAGAATGAGTTGGGCATAAGATGGCTCGCTTATGCTATGAGGGGATTGGGGGAGCTTTTAGTGTGGTGGTTGGGCTCAACAATGGTTTGGGTGAACCCACCTATGAAGTTATTTGGGTGGGTTGGACCTTGGTTCCATATGGCAGTCCCCCTTGGTTAAAGGTGCATGATTTGTCTTTTAGTCTTTGGATTTGGTTAAATTATTTTATTTTATTTTTTTGTGTCACCCATGTGTCATAGTGTGTTATTAGGGTTAAATAGTGTGGGCTCATGTCCTGGTTTTGTGGTTTGAGCTAAGGTCTCTCATGATGGCTTGGGCTTAAGCTTAGGCTTTTGTGGTTAAGTTTGACCCAAAATATTAGATTTAATGGGCCCCTTATAAATAGCCCAATTAAATAATTAGATTAATTATGAAGGTTGCCGCCCTAATGTAAATTTGATTCCTAAGTAGTTTTAGGTCTTAATCACCTTGAAACAAGTTAAGTTTTATTTTGATGAGCTCAATTGTTCCATAATTGACTCAAGTTGGCTTGGGTCTAATTAGATTTTGGTGACACTTTGATTTCAATTTCTTAGGGCTGAGTTAATGTGCTTGGGGAACATGTCAATTTTAGTGTTAATTAGTGTTGAGAAAACTTTAGGGACTGTTTGGGGCAGCTGCAGCTTCTCAGGTTTTCAGTTGCAGTTTAGCTGCCCGAGAAAGTTGTTGTGTGGAAACTAGTTGCTTATTTGTTACAGCTGAAAGACAACTATTTCTAGAAAAAATGATCATTATACCCATGTATAGTAAAACTGTTTGAAACAGAACCGTGACAACCATATGTTTGATACTTCAGAAGCAGAATTTCACTTCAAAACAGTTCAAAAATTCAGATACACAACTCACTTAACAGTGAATACCTAAAGTGCTAATGAAAAAGGAAAAACTTAAAATTTTCTATTTTTTATTTACATTTATACCATCCATGTCTTTCATTTCCCATAAAAATACTACTATTTTAACTTATATGCACCATTTATACATGAATATGGTGGCATATATGTGAAAGTTAAGGTTTAGCCATTATATATGTAACTAAGTAAGAATTTAGAGTTATGAATGTAAATATTCATATATAATATTGTTATCTTGAATCTCAACAATATTGCAATCTAAATAACATTATAGCAATCTAAATATCATTAAATTATGTTGTTTTAGCATCGTAAAATACCATTATGGCGGTGATTGATGAGCAATCTAGCCTCGTTCTAGATCATATGCGTGATGGAAATGGGAGGGAAACTGGCACCGAAGGAGGAGGTGGCTCTCAAGCTCGTAAAAATGAGAACAGTCATTGAAGCCGAAGAGGATGAAGAGGAAGCATGTATCGTGAGCAACGTCAGAATAGAGGAGGAAGAGGAGGAGAGATCGCAACTTCTAGGTTGGTCACGGGGTTGAATGTTTCGATTAGGGAGGGCACAGGGGAAAAAAGTTAAAGGGGAATGCTAGGTCGTGGCTAACTGGAAGCGTTCCACATTCTGGATAAATCACATGCAGGGCGCGGTGGTGTCGCTGCCCCAAACAACAAAAAAGGGAGGCGCGGTATCACGCTAAGGATTGACTTTGGTGAATCACTCCTCTCCCTTTGAAGTTTGGTGTCATGAGATTTTCAGTGCCTTTTAGCGTACCGTGTTAAGAACCCCTCATTAGCCTAGGCCCAACCTCTTATCTGACGGGCTTCTCCAAGGTCAATGACAATCTCAAGGATATTCAGTAAGTCCTTAAGGGAAATCCTAGGATTTTGAGTTCCATGGATAACCAAGGGAATCTTCCACCTATAAGAAGTCAACTTGGGCTTCTGCTGCGCTAGACACTCAATCATCTCAGCCAAGAGTTGAGAGTTTGGACTTAACCTCAGGAAGCCCTAAGTGTGTGTATGTTTGGTTAGAAGTCCTATATGGGTAAGTTCCATCTCTAGTCATCTAAGAAGGTCACTAAGAAACCCTAAGGCTAAATACTATATTTCTATAGAGAGAGAGGAGATCCTCATAAAAGAGAGGTCAAAAAATATTCGAAGATTTTAAATATATCTTAAAAACGTTCGAATGTCTCATTTCTTTTGTAAGGGGCAAATTCCAAGAAATGCGAACTCTAATGCAAACATTTATAATTCTTCAGTAATTATTATTTTTATTACTTCGATTCAATCAACAAGATACATCAATAATTTTATATCTAATTGTTTGGCAAATAAGAAGCATTTTTATTAAGGCTATTTAAATCTAAGACGTCCTTCATCATCTTTACTAGATTTTTTTAAGCCTTTTATAGAGTTACCTTCAAAATTCTATAACAACTTCCGCGAAACAGTTTCATCCCCATTGAAGTTTGTTATATGGATTTAACTTCTATCTCAACCATAACAAATCTAAAATAACTTCAATTGAAAAAAATACGAATTAGTGAATTCTCCTTTAAATGACATTATGTTATAAAAATCATTCATTTGAGGTTTTAATAATTTTTTATAAAATAATAATAATGTACATGAATCGGTGATCAATAACAACTTATAAATTTCCTTTTTGAGAAAAATACTTGAAAAAAGAAATTAAAAAAAACAAAGTGACTATATATTTATGGAAGTGCTTAGGAAAATTTAAACTCATTTTGATTAGTGAATAAATTACACTTAATTATTAAAATTTAAGATAAGTAAAATAACATATTCAAGAAAGCTATTAGCCTTGAATTTTCTATCTTATCGAATATTGATATTTTCATATGAAGATTTTCATGGAAATAGTTAATTAACAGGTAATTAAGAGTTTTATGATGATTAGTTCAATCACATAAATTCATTACCGACAAAATTGTTAAAATTTCAACACCAATATATCAAAAAAATTACAGCTCTTTTAAAGATGAGTAGCAAGAATTCACAATGACATTTTAGTGGGAGAAATATACTCCTGCTCATGATTGTCTAAAAAAAAAAATTGATTAAAATTTGGAGAAAAAATAAAGAAAAAAGTAATAAAAATGCATAAATATTTTAAAAATAAAGGTTTTATGTAAATAATTTTAATTTTTTGGAGATTTTTTTTTTATTGATATTTCATTGTCTTCAGATTGAAAATGTGCTGGTAAATTGGGTTAATGATAGCTCCTGGATGAAAAAGGATTTACTCTACTCTTGCAAGATAGTTTGGTTATCTTAAGGTGATACAAACTGCCTAATCTATATAGGTTCAAGCTTTTATATGCATGAGTACTAGAGCTTATAAATGTAGAACTATGCATAATCTATTGGTGAGTGGTGAAACTCTTGCAAGAGAAAGAACTAGAGCCTAAAAATAGAGACTTAAGAGGTGTGAATGTTCTCCTTACCCATGGGAGTTAATTATACTTGAAAATGAGGATAAATATCTACAAAACTCTTTGTCTAATTTTAAAACAAAATTGAAGTTTTTTTAATAGCTTTCTTACCATCGAAATAATTTATTTTAATTTTTAAAATGTTCTTTTGCTTAAAAAATGAAAGAAAAATCACATGTTATTCTCGTTGTATGCACTTGCACATTGTCATAACCGTCAAAAATGGGTTGGCCAGCCAGACCGTTTTTTAAAAAATTAATTTGTTTTATATGTTTTTATTTAACCTAATGTTAAAAAAAATCACATGTTATTTAATGTGTTTTATATGTTTTTATTTAAAAATAATAATTAACACGCTTTTTAAAACACTCAAAATAATTTTCAAGTATTTTGAGTGTTTCTAAAAACAATCGTATCTTATGTTAAATATATTTAATCAATTATGTTAAATATATTTTGTTTCAAGCTAAAATATAAATAAAATAGAGTAAAATAAAGTAGAATATAAAAAGCAAATTGTTCTAATATTTTGCTTGATTTTTTCTTTTAATAAAATTGTAGTCCTTAACCATACAATCAAGCAGATCCATTCTGAAATTTTGTAGCTAAAAATCTCTACATTTTAATGTCATTGTAATCATCTTTGTAGAGTAAATCCATATATCCAAACAAACATATTTATATATATTCAAATTTCAGAAGAGGAAATCATCAATTTGTTAAATTTAATGCTACATAAGATGATAATTATTACAATAATAAATACTGACATGGAAATTTCTAAGACCAAATAGTTGTTCATGGAAATCAGTCAGGTATTAGTTATTACAATAATAAATAAGTTTGTGCATAGCACAGCATAGGATGAGATGAATATGAGTAAATAACAAGTCCTCACCTCACATATTCACATTTTGATGGGAAGAGATTGATTTGGAATGACGCCAATTACACACACAACAACTATTACATTTAATCAAGAGTAACTAAAGGAATGTGTGCGATCTTGTTCCAACCAGAGCCTGAAAGTTTTTTATAACGCTTCTTCAACTTTGGATGACAATTTGATATGGCCAACGAATACAAGGAGGGAGGGAGGTCCGGCAATGATTTGAGGAGTGGAATGTGTTCTAATTCTAGACGGTTGAGGGATGAGATGGCCGACAAAGAAGATGGCAGGCACTCTAGGTGATCAAGCTTATATAGATGCAGTGACTCCAAGGAGGAGGGGAGGTCTGGCAATGATTTGAGGAGCGGAATGTTGTTTAAATATAGACGGCTGAGGGATGAGATGGCCGACAAAGAAGATGGCAGGCACTCTAGGTTATCAAGACAATATAGACACAGAAGAAACAAAGAGGGAGGGAGTTCTGGCAATGATTTGAGGAGTGAAATGCTACCTAAATATAGATAGTTGAGGGATGAGAGGGCCGACAAAGAAGATGGCAGGCACTGTAGGTTATCAAGACTAATTATATGCAGTGAATTCAAGGAGGAAGGGAGGTCTGGCAATGATTTGAGGAGTGGAATGCTATTTAAAATTAGTTCCTTGAGGGATGAGATGGCCGACAAAGAAGATGGCAGGCACAGTAGGTTATCAAGACTATATATATACAGATAACCCAAGGAGGAAGGGAGGTCTGGCAATGATTTGAGGAGTGGAATGCTATCTAAATATAGATCCTTGAGGGATGAAATGGCCGACAAAGACGTCGGCAGGCACTGCAATGACTCCAGGTATTCAAAACGTAATTCTTCCAGGGAGGCGGGGATGTGTAGAAGCTGCTGGAGCTGAGGAAGATGTTCGACACGTAGAATCTTAAGAGAAGGAAGAAACTGCAGGGATTTCTCAAAGCCACTCTCCACTTGTTGCAGTCCACCAAGAGAAAGAAGGGATGTGAGGTCTGGACACGAAAGGACCTGAAATGTTTCAAGGGGAATCAATTTTGAAAGCCGCAACAGTTGTTGGTTTCTTGCTTGTAGTTCAGAGCAGCCTTCCATCCGATGTTTTGTATCTTCATTTTCTTGAGCTTAGGAGGCAAATAGGGCAACTCCTGCAGATTCGGGCAGTTAACAAGGAAGACTTCCGTTAAGCAAGGAAAGAAACAGTCATCTGCTGCAGCACCAGCTCCATCAAACCAATCTTCCAATACTTGTAATCCCTCCATATGCAGAACCTCCAGCGCTGGAAACACACAAATATTGTTATTCCCTCTGAATTTATTATCAAGCTGCTTTACTTTTGGCATGTTACAAAGGTACAGAGACTTGAGGTGGGGAAGCTGCCCAAAAGGTGGAAGAGTTTCCCACTCCGAGCACCCGTTCAGACAGATGTGCTCCAGATTGGAGATCAAATCTGCATTGTACAGCCATTTTGCACCGCTTACACCCTTGTATGAAGCTAGGGACAACCTCTTTAGATTTTTGTATGGTTTAAGATTTTCAAGCACATTCAAATCTAACTCAGAATTGACAAAGTTCCGTCGGCTTCCAACTCCCATGTACGAGTTCCATGCATCAACAGTCCAATGCAAGAATCGGCTTCCAACTCCCTTGTCTGGCTTCCATTCATCAACAGTTTTGCCCCAATTCAAGAACAAAACTGTGAGTTTTCTCTTCTCAAATAATTTTGCATTGCGGGCCTCTGTAGCATCCTTCACATTCTCCAAAAAATGTAAAAATCCAAAAAATGTATTTTTAATTTGCGCAACTCGCTCATATGTTCCAACTCCTCAATTCTATAACCATTCTCATTCTTCACATTAAATTCATTTAGTTCTTGAAGTGACCTTAATTTCCCAATTGCAGGTACAATAGAAAACATGAATCTGGGCAATTCCAAGTGACGCAGATTAGAAAGATTGCTCACATCGCCAAACAAGAAATTAACAGAGCTATATCCTGTTTTATAGATTATGAACCGCAAATGATAAAGACTGCTTAGAGATCTTGGCATCTGAGTGAGATTCATAGTAAGATTCAAATATTGAAGTTGTTTCAAGTTTTCAATAGCCTCAGGCATCTTTCCAAGCCATCGGGAGTCTATGAACAACAAACGAACCCTTCTCGATGCTTCAAAAATTTCAGTAAGTATTTCAGTGAAATATTGACCAAGTCTTTCGCTGGTTAAAAAAAGTGAATGTAGGTTTTTAACATCTTTGATCATTGTCAACAATTCTCAACACTTCTGGATTTTCAGTTTTAACAAATAAGTGTCGAATAGTTTTAGGAATTTTAAAGGATAAAACATTATCACCCACGAATCCGAAACATTCCTCTGAAGAAATTGACTGTGCCAAATCATGTAATAAATCATGCATCTTATAGTATATTCCCGTATAACACTTAAACCCCTCAAAGAAAGATTTTCTGACCAAAACATCTGACCAAAGATTTTCTGACCAAAACATCAAAATACCTTCCTCCAATATCTTCCAAAGTCTCTTCTTCAGTAGAAAATTCCTCAATGAAACCCAATGCAATCCACATTCGGACTAAATCATCTTTATCAAACTTATGATCTTGTGGGAATATCTTGTGAAATGCAAAACAATTTTGTAGAGGTTGTGGGAGGAA